TCTTAAAGGTGGCCCCCACAAATGCTCGCAGTTCCTCCGTCACCCTCTCCGGGATCGGCACGTGGCCGTTGATGGAGTCCAGGCTATCTTCCAAATGGATCCCGTTGACCAGTCCATTATTGAGGCTCTCGGGGGCCGAGGTCTCCATCGGTTCCTCGTCGCTCATTGGTTCCTCCTTGATATGGACCCCGAGGAGGTCCGTCGCATGAAGAGACTCCTCCAGCCGGTTCTCGGCTTTTCTCTTTCGGTGGTCTTGGTCCAACTGGCTGTAGCTCTGGTTGACTTTGGACTTGGCCATGTTGACCCTCTGCTCTCCAGAGATCACCACTGGAGCAGCTACGGGAAGGAGAACAAGAACCAGGGTTAATTGGGGCCCAGATCAGGAGAAGAACTCTGTTCTACCTAGATGTGGCGTGCGTAGGGAAGCGTAGGAGAAGGACTGCTTCCAGTGACTTTATTTATTAGGTTTTTATCCTGCCTTTACTGCTTTGGAAGAAACTCAATGCCGAGAATATACATAACACTCCTTCCTCCCCCACCATAAACCTGTGAAGTTGGGTGGGCTGAAAATGGAATAGAGAATAGTTGCAGGAATTGGGTATGCCTTGTTTAATGAAGAGAAGGATGAGGGGTGACATGATAGCAGTGTCCCAATATCTCAGGGGCTGCCCCAAAGAAGAGGGAGTCAAGCTATTCTCCAAAGCCCTTGAAGGCAGGACAAGATGCAACGGATGGAAACTCATCAAGGAGAAAAACAATCTGGAACTAAGGAGAAACTTCCTGACAGTTAGAACAATTAACTAGAAGCAGTGAATGCTCCAACAAGCTTTTAAGAAGAGACTGGACAGCCACTTGTCTGAAATGGTGTAGGGCAGTGTTTCTCGACCTTGACAATTTTAAGGCATGTGGACTTCAACTCCCAGAATTCCACAGCCAGCATTGCTGGCTGTGGAATTCTGGGAGTTGAAGTCCACATGCCTTAAAATTGTCAAGGTCGAGAAACACTGGTGTAGGGTTTCCTGCCTGAGCAGGGGGTTGGACTAGTTGACCTCCAAGGTCCCTTCCAACTTTATTATTATTAAGAGTTGGAAGACCTTGAAGGTCTCATAGTCCCCGCTCAAGCAGGATATTTTATTGATTAAAAATAGCTCTTCAACTGCTCAGCCATTGTCACTCCTCTGGGTCTTAAAAAAAATTACATTGTGGTAAACCATGATTTTTATCAAACCATGATTGCCTAAGAAGTCACAAGAGCAGGATTGACCGAATCTAGGCCGAAGCAGCCTCTGCAAACCTCATTGTAGTCTTCTGTGAGCTTTTGCTCATTTCTTCTGTGAGCTTTTGCTCATTTTAGTCTTCTGTGAGCTTTTTTTGTTCTCTCTGCTTCTCCAAAGGCCTTACCTGGCTGTGCTGCTGTTTTCTTTGAAGCCAGCTGCTCCCTGGATAGGTTGTATACTTTTTCCAACCTGAAAATAAGAGGAAAGGAAAATTCGTCTCTGGAAAGCCCTTCAGTGGCTTAGTTAGCAATCACCAAGAATCTGCAGCACTTCAGATCCACAGTGGAAGAGATGGGGGGGTTTTTGGGGGGGAGGGGGTGCGTACCCCACCTCTCAGTCTCTCTTACAAGAAAATGTGTGTGTTTTTCCAGTCTCACAGAGAAGAAGTACAATCTGAGGAAAAGGAAAAAGAAAAGGAAGGGAAGGAGAAAGGAGAAAGGAAAAAGGAAGGGAAGGGAAGGAGGTAAATGGATGAGGAAGGAAAGGAGAAAGGGAAAAGAAAGGGAAAGGAAGAGAAGGGAAAAGGGAAAGGAAAAAGGAAGGGAAAAGGGGAAAGGGAAAAGAAAGGGAAAGGAAGAGAAGGAAGGGGTAAATGGATGAGGAAGGGGAAAGGGAAAAAAAGAGAGAAAGGGGAAGGGGAGGAAAGGGAAGGTGGAGAATGGACGAAGAAGGGAAGAGAAAGGAATTATTTACTTGGCCTGAATGCCCATCCAAAGCATTTTTTGCCTCTGCACCACATCTGGATGCTTCTTGACAAAATCTTCGTCATAGCGGAGCTTAAATTCCCAGCCTCGGTTTATCCTCAAAAAAGAGACGTGCTCCAGGAAGTCTTTCACATCTTCTGGACCCAGCTGCACAAAGAACAGATTATTTTTTTTTTAAAAAAAAATTCCATTTCACAATGAAAGACGGCGAACGCCGCGCAATCTGGGTGGGTGTCCGTAACTTGTTTCAAAACATCTAGCTGCCGTTCCGATTACAGGTCGCCACAACCGGGTCCACAATTTCCACTCTTAAGTGAGTTGTGCCCAAGAAAGTCCAGTTGCCCTTTGGAATAAAAGCACCTTTGGGGACAACAACAAACGTACTACTTCCCTGCTCCCGTTGTTTCTTTGTCAAGCTGCGAGCAGAAAGAGGTGTTTTGAGAGTCAACCTTGACATGCCGACTCTCCAGAAGAAAGACAAGCCTAAGTCCAGTTTGCCTTTTGGAAAAAGCACCTTTTGGGACAACCCTGACCTGGATGATGGAGACTCTCCACAGACACGAAATGAACGGTTGTAACTCGAGGACTCTGTAATCAGGTCAAGAAGAGAAATTGCCCTGATGGTAATAATGGTCACCTCAAAGTTTGGGGTGTGGTCTAACAGAGAAAACAGGGAGACAGGGCTACACCCTAACAGATGCCAACTTTCCTTCAAAGCAGGAAGCTGTTCCCACTTGTTTTGTGAGCTCAATTATGCACGGGCGCATGCATGTACATACAACAAGCGCATATGCATATTAAAAAGGCCAAGCTCATTTGCTTCTCAAGTATTGGGGTGTGGGTGCAAATTGCATACCAAGGACCGCAGTTGTAAAAAAAAATAATCATCTGTGGAATTTGGGGGACTGCATTTTGGAGATTGCGCGTCCTCTTTGAAAGAGGATCCTCTGGCCTTTTTGAGTTTCAACTCCATCATCATGCTAATAACAAAAGAGATTTAACTCTGAGGAGGACAAGCCGGGATCCATAGTGTGAGAAAGTTGATTTCTAATTTGGAAGCCTTCGTGTGGTTCTCTCTTGGCTGCTTATTGTGCAAGTAAATTACTCTAAAACAATTAACCCTACTGGAATGAACGAAGATCATTTGAAGAACCGGGGATGTTCTCATTTTAAAACGTTATAAACCAAACCTGGTTTGTCTATCACACAGAACAGGCCTCCCATCTCAGGCACAATGCCAGTTAGTGGCATTTAGAAACCCAATCCTAAATTGACGCATCCCAGGTCCTTTTCTGTCATCACATCTGGGCCACTAAGATGACGATGCTTGGATTTCGACTCCCAGAATCCCTCAGCCAACACGGCCGCTGTAGAGAGGATTCTGGGAAGTGGTGGTCTATAAATCTGAAAAGAGGACCAGATGGGAAACGCCAACCAGCAAAATTCAGGGAAAGCCATCAGCCGACTGAGGAATTCTGGGAGTTGAAGTCCACATATCTTAAAAGTTGGCAAGGTTGGAGACCCCCGACCTAGACTGATAAAAAAACGCAAAGTTTAGGAAGAAACTTACTTTGGTTACAGCCGCAACTTCCTTCCGTACCACCCACCGATCCTGCGTGAATTTCCATATCTGAAAAAGAAGCAAACACTCAAGAAAAGAAGGCCCCTTTCAACCTGGCGAAGGCCTGTCTGAATACAGAGCGTAACGTGGCCAAAGGAGGTATATAAAAACACACGCGTATTCGAATGCAACGTTGAGTCAACATTTCAAAGCAATCGGTGAAGAACTTTCGGAGATTTAAGATTTTGAACAAACCAACATTTTACATTTTTATTTATATAGATAGAAGATAGATAGATAGAAGATAGATAGATAGATATAGATAGATATAGATATATAGTAAAACAATAAAAGTGAACACCAGGGAAAGTTAAAATCAGGTTAAAATCAGAAGGTTAAAATCCCTGGTGTTCACTTTTATTGTTTTACTATGGATATGCCCAGGGATCATTCATCTGTTTTTAGTGTCATTGGTAATATATAGATATATAGATAGATATAGAAGATAGATATAGATTGACCAAATTTCTAAAGCTCCCCCCCCAACTCCTCTTTTCCTGCCAACTCAGGAATGTGACTCTGGGTGGGTGTACACTAAAATAAACGACTGGCAGTCCTTGACTTACGAGCAGCGTGGAGCCCAAACTTTCTGGTGTTGAGCAAAGCAGTTGTTAAGTGAGCTAATGTCCCATTTTACGACCTTTCTCGTTAAACGAATCACTGCAATTGTTAAGTTAGCAACTTCACTGTTTTTAAGTGAATCTGGCCTCCCCATTGGATTTGCTTGCCAGAAGGTTGCAAAAGGGGATCACGTGACCCCAGGACTGCCAAGCGTCTGAATTTTGATCACGTGACCCTGGGGAGGCTGCAGAGGCCGTAAGTGTGAAAACAAGTCGTAAGTCACTTTTTCCAGCGCCTTTAAGTCCGAACGGTCACTAAATGAATGATTGTGAAGACCAGGACTACCTGTATTAGGGCAAGCGGTATGGGGACCCTCCTCTGAAGACCCGACCCCAGCCCCCCAGGACAGTTAAAATGCCCAAGCCCAAAATGCATGCCAAGCTGTTGCTGCAGAAGGGACATTTGAGAACACAAACACAAATTCTTGGTTGGGTGTTTTGGCACTCACAACAAAATCCCTTCCTCGGCACAAGACTTCGGCTGGGACACCGCTGTGTGGGCTGGAGGAATCTTTGGGGTAAAGGATGTCACTGTGGAGGAAAAATAAACATTTATTAGCTGAAGTGCCCCATCGACCGTTGGCTTAAACACCTAACCACAAAGGTCATAAAATCGGGTTGGTTGTGTGGCGTCCTCAATTTGTGACCATCCTGAGTTATGACCGGGATGGCCAAGGCTCCATAACTCCAGGACTACCTATACAGAAGCTACTGGGGCTGGAAATTTAGGAATTTGTAAGCCAATCTGCAATTAGCAGCATGCAATCAAATATATATATAAAGCTGATTTTTTTGTTGTTCACCTTTTCACCACCCAGTTCCCCTGGACTAGCAGCGCCACCTGCTGGATGCTTCGCAAAACTGCAGCCGGATCTGTCCCAGAGGCTAAAAGGCTCATTAAACTGGCAAAGGCGATGACTTTCACTGTAGGGGGTGAAGAAGAAAAAAAGCAGGGACCCATCAGCCCCAGCCAGCCAGAAGCCCCCCCCCAAAAAATAGAGAAATTGGGGAGCAACAGGAAGGGCTGATCAAACCCAGATGCGAAGAACCCTAACCAGGATTCATTATGGGCCCCAATCCGGAGGGACCATTCTCGACATCTTGGTTAATATTTGGAGGGGAGACCACTCAGAGATTACTTGAGAGATGGAATAGAAGTTGGAGAAACTTCCCTCCCCCCCTCCCAAAGGCAGGAACAAATGTTAAGAGTAACAGGGCAGTCCTTGAACCCCTAAAGCTTTTGCCACTTCACCACAGACCCACTTGCTCGGTGAAGTGGGCAAAACAATTTAGCGAGAATTTGCAAGGAAAAAAAAAAGGAGAAATAACAGAACTTACCATTTTTCATCAGAATCTTAATCTGGTCGGCCAAAGGGAGCGTCCGCAACTGAGCCATCGACAGCATATTGCTTGGCGCTACCGGTTTTTCCCTGTGCGCAAAATAAAATAGCCGTTGAATGCCGGCTGCCATGGCCTCTTCAAACTATGCTTAAAGATCTCAGCTTAATGTTTCTGGGCAAACCCAACCGATAAGGATCAACTGCAGAAGCAACCCCGAAGGATCTGAGGCCAAGCTTCATTCTCTAGCATGGGGAGAAGGTTAAACTACCAGTCAACATCAGGAGGGACATTTAAAAATTACATGGTTCTAGGTTCCCCCCCCCCCCAAAGAATGGGAGAGATCCCTAAGCTACTTAAGAACTGAAGAAGCTTTTTGGATGAGAAGTGAAATGTTTTCAAGGAACAGAAAACCAAGAAAGTCCAGTTGCAGAGTAGAATAGAGCTGGAAGGGACCTTGGAGATCTTCTAGTCCAGCACCCTGCTCAAGCAGGAGAACCTATACCATTTCAGATAAATGACTGTCTAGCCTCTTCTTAAAAATCTCCAGTGATGGAACGCCCACGATTTCTGGAGGCAAGCTGTTCCACTGGTTAATTGTCCTCACTGTCAGGAAGTTTCTCCTCAATTCCAGGTTGTTTGTCTCTTTGATCAGTTTCCAACCATTGTTTCTTATCCTTCCCTCTGGTGCTCTGGTGAACAACATGACCCCCTCTGCCTCGTGGCAGCCCCTCAGATACTGGAACACTGCTATCATGTCTCTCCTGTTTCTTCTTTTCTTTAGAGTAGCCAAACCCAAGTCCCGCAGCCGTTCTTTGTATGTTTTAGTCTCCAGGCCTTGGATCATCTTAGTTGCTCTTCTCTGAGTTTTTTTTTTCAAACTCTCAACATCTTTTTTGTGATATGGTGACCAAAATTAGCTGCAGTATTCCAGGTGTGGGTTTTTTTGGGGAAAAAGCACCTTTGGGACAACCATGACCTGGATGATGGAGAATCTCTATAGAACTAAGCTACTTACTTTTCTTCTTCTACGCTTGGTGGAACCAGCATCATCAAGTATTCACTGTGAAGAGAGAAGAAGGAATACGGATTTGCCTTGAGAAAGAACACATCCAAATTGTTATTAAAAGCCAGCAGAGGGTGGCCGGCTTAGTCATCTGAAAGAAATCCAAGCCAATCAAATGCATAAAATGTGGGGCATCTGGTCCTGCGTTTCTCTAAACAACAATATTGACAATGGTCTTGCAAGAGGAATGGTGTCTTGGCAGCTTTGCATCTCCTCCTTAGCAGCCCAACTGACCTTGGCTGGGGGAAGCGGGCTGGATTTCAATTATTTCTCTTTTCTGTCCCCTTCCTCACCTTGGCGATTTAATTAATTCTGTGTTCCCAGCCATGCTGTGTCCTTGGCTGAATAAATATTGGCGCTCGTGCTCAGAACGGCTGTCCTAGGAGAAACAGAAGAGGAAGATCCGTTAATGGCCATTTCAGGACTATGGTATGAAAATATACAGGCAGGAGCTGAGCTTAAATAGTTTTTCCTGTTCAGGAAAAATAACAAAGAGTTTTAGCAAGGGGAATGGAAGAACAGAGGAAGGAGGAGGGAGAGGAGAGGAGAGGAGAAGGATCATGGACTTATTTTGGAACTGACACCTATTTAGTTTCCCCTCTCTAATCAACTGTCATGAAGCCGCCATAGTTTTGACAATTCTCTCAAGGGAAGAACATCTGGAGAACCAAAATCTCTACCATCAGATTGTATAAAACTGTGGGGGGGGGGGAGTCAAATCAGCTTCTTTTTCAGACCACTTCTGCAGATGTAATAACACACTGGCTGAGTTTGTCACTCATTCGAGACCACCCATCATTAGCAATGGTTTCTGGCTTCAAGCAGGGGTCAGCAACTTCTAGCCTTAATGCCACATGAGGTCCTCAAATCCCCTTTCCTCAGAACCAGCTCTGGTTGATATTCCTGAAAATGGCCAGCAGTTTCTTAACATGTTGAAGTAGGAAACACAGCCAAACTGGAACAAAGTTGCTTGGTTGTGTGTGTGTGTGTGTGTGTGTGTGTGTGTGTTTTTAAAGAAAAACCAAGTAAACCTCTGTAAAACCAGGAGAAAAAAAGGGGAAATTTTACCTCCATCCTCATCAAATGATTTGATTCCACCCACTGTGGCCTTTTAGTCCCCTCTGCCAAACACTGTGTCACTTTTGCCCCTAACAGTCTACGCCCTCCAAACCTTTCCTTAAACCCCACTAGGGATAGATTATTCAACCAAGTAGGGTTAAACAAACCACAGTTTAACGTGCTACGCAAACACAGTCCTGGAAACCTACCTTCAAACCGTAATAATGGAGGTGGACCCAGTGCTCTTCTGCTTGTCTTTTTTGCAGGAATTCGTAAGATTGAACTCGCCGTTGGCGGGCCTGTTCCGACTCTGGCCGGGAGAACCTCACCTGAAAAGAGACCTTTCTGTTATTATGGGATGCGATCAAAATTCCCAATGGGCTGGGACTGGGTGAAGACCGCATCTTTCAAAGAACTGACACCTCCTTTGTAAGAGCCACCCAAGAAGAGCAAAAAGAATCGAAATCAAAATGACTCCCAAGTGACTCTGGGCAGTTTAGCACTAGAACCAAAATATATATTAAAAAGTAAAAAAAAATGCAATAGGCTGGAAAAGCAAAATAATAAAAAAGCAAGTCATTTCCCCCAAACAAGACAAAATTTATTATAGGTAGCCTTTGACTTACGACCACGATTTCCACACTTACCACAGTCCTGTGGTAAAATGGGTAGCCCATAAATTTTTACAAATCATTAAAATGGGATCACAATTTCCATGACTACGCAAGATGGCTGCTAAGTGAGCTGCGTCCAATTTTACAGGCTTTGTTGCCACGGTTCACTGCAGTCGTTAAGCGAATCATGCCGTCATTAAGCAAATCTGACATCCCCCCCCCATTGATTTTGCTTGTCAGAAGCCAGCTGGGACAGTCACAAATAGTGATCACATGATCCCAGGATGCTACAACCGTTGTAAATGCGAGGATGGGTCATAAGTCCCTTTTTTCGGTGTCGTTGCAACTTCGAATGATTGCTAAACAAACGGTTGTGAGTCAAGGACCACCTGTATACTCCTGGGAATTAGACAGGTGTCCCAGAACATCTTGACCTACCGTGATTTGCTTGACGTCTTCCTCACCCTCATCCTGAGAAGAATCACCATCTATGATGAGAGAAAGGGGAAGGTCAAAGCATCTGGAAGGTCACCTTTTCTGCAAATGGGAACAAACGCTAAAACCACAAAAACCTTATAGGCCACAAGGCTGAGGAATTCTGGGAGTTGAAGTCCACTCATGCTAGCTGAGGAATTCTGGGAGCCTTACAGCCTTAAGAGCTAGGTTATAAGGCTGAGGAATTCTGGGAGTTGAAGTCCACCCATACTGGCTGAGGAATTCTGGGAGCCTTTAAGAGCTAGGCTGTAAGGCTATAAAACCCTGGTTAAAACACAGCCAGCCATTTTAAACGTGGAAGCTGGCCATCTTCTCTGACCCAAACCCAGAGAACATGGCGTCCTACTTACGCTCATTGGCAGCTTCACGTTCTCGGTATTTCGCATCCGCTTTGTCCAAGTAGGCAAAACTTGGTCGCATTTGCAGGATCCCGTTCAACGGAGTCAAGTGAAGCTCCCCTGCAACAGAATAAAACAGCATTATTATTTTTTTTTTACAAGAGAAATGGCAGCATTTCTCTAGCTTAACAATTATAAGATGTGCGGACTTCAACTCCCAGAATTCTCCAGTGGGCAGGCTGGCTGAGGGGAGAAGTCCACACACGCTGGCTAGTTGAGTTCTGGATTTTAAAATCCATTCATACAGGCTGAGGAATTCTGGGAGTTGAAGTCCACCTATGCTGGCTAGGGAATTCTGGGAGTTGAAGAAAACACATCTAAAAGTGGCTGAGGGCGAGAAACCCTGCTCTAAAATATAGGCAGCCCTCGGGGAGACTGAGTTTGGGTGTTATGACCAAACAAATGATTTCCGTCGTCTTCTTTTTTTTTTTTTAAAGAAAATTTTATTGATTTTCTAGTTTTACATTTAAATACTTGAAAAGCAACGTGGCGGCCGAGTTGGCCAATAATTCAGTAACATACAAATATCTTTAGTACAGATCTCAAACGATTACATTCAATATTTCCGCTCTTTTCCCCTTGGTATTTACTGTCCCATATTTAAATTAATACAATTCTTATGGTATCGATTAAATAAAAATAACTTCCTTACATTTATCAATATTTTTCTGGAACGAACTACCCCCAGAGATCCGGGTGATCCCGGATCTCCCCTCCTTCCGCCGCGCCCTAAAGACATGGCTCTTCCAACAAGCGGGATTGGCCTAGGGGAATTTTAGTGGGGTTTTAAGAGTAATTTTAATTGACATAGGCCACAGTAAATATTTCTTTTTAATTAGGTTTTAAACTGGGTATTTTTATTGTTGTATCTGTTTTATAAGGCTGTCAGCCGCCCTGAGTCCGTAAGGAGAAGGGCGGGATAAAAATTAAATAAATAAAATAAATAAAAAATAAATTTTTTGTTTATACTTATCCTCGTTTTCACATTCAATTTTTTTAGACAATCAATGTCCTGGTTAGTTTTCCCCAATTTTTAGTTTCCTATTCATATTTAGATTTCCGTCTCCTGCTAGCTGCACTTAAACAATTCTGCTCAGGTAGAAAGACGGTAAACGTGGCAGCTGCAGTCATACCACCTGCTAAACCTGGTTAGATATTGATTGGGGTTGGTGTCCTACAAACTCAGTCTCTCAAAAACCTATGGAAATACAGCCTATGAATCAACTCCATTGCTATAGCTTGGATGTTGTGTTCATGCACCCAATTTTGCACCAGAATTCTGAAGATTGTGGGGTGGTTTTTTTTAAAGTTGATTTTGAAAAACCACCAAGGCAGGCATATCACTCACCTCTTTTGTAGACAGCAGCAGCGTATCGCGAAATGTTGCTGGTGGTTTGCGAGGAACAGAACGTCTGTTTGTCCATCAGCTTCCTGGAAAACATAGAACACAGGACCTTGGTGAAATGGCATGTAGGAATGATCTTGGAAGACTGGGAGAAGAGACAACGGTCAGATAAAGGAGAAATAGCCTCTGGTTGCACAAAGGGTGAAGAAAGAAGCCCCCCCCCCAAAAAAAAGAGACCCTAAAATTCTCAAGCTGTAAAGGAGCTGGCAAAAGAATTGCACGTTCAGGTTTGCAAGATTCTGTTAACGTCGCTTTAGCATAAAGCAGAATTAGATCATCTGGTTAGGGTTCCTGTCTGGTCCACTTGGTAAGGCTGACACTCAAACTAAAGAGCTCACATTGCAAGGCCCAATCAGTCATAATTTGAGGACTACCTAAAAAAAACACCTCTAAATAGAGTGCAGAGAAGAGCAACAAAGATGATTGGAGGACTGGAAGCTAAAACATATGAAAAATGGTTGCAGGAATTGGTATGTCTAGTTTAGTGAAAAGGTGTGACATGATAGCAGTGTTCCAATATCTTCAGGGGTTTCCACAAAGAAGAGGAGAGGGTCAACCTCTTCTCCAAAGCTCCTGAAGGCAGGACAAGAAGCAACGGATGGAAACTAATCAAGGAGAGAAGCAACTTAGGAGATACTTCCTAACAGTGAGAACTACTAATCAGGGGAACGGAAGTTTCCTCCAGAAGTTGTGGGTGCTCCATCACTGAAGGTTTTCAAGAAGAGGTTGGATAGCCATTTGTCTGGAGTGGTATAGGGTCTGCTGCTTGAGCAGGGGGTTGGACTAGAAGAACTCCAAGGTCCCTTCCAACTCTGTTATTCTGTATTAACCTGCCATCAAAAAATCCTAAAGGAGATGGGGACTCCACCCAGTTGAATCTAGGCATTGATGTAAAGGTGATGCTTACGAAGAGTAAGTGTTGGTCTCATCGGTACACGTGCCGTCTACGTTGAGGGCAATCTGTTCCCCTTTGCTGCGACAGTAGTTGGAATTTGACGTGTCGATGGCCATTTCCAGTTCAACCTGAAGAACAGCAGATGGTGGATCAGCTCAACCAAGAGCTTAAATGTCACCATTCATAAAACTAGAGAGAGAAAAATGGCTACAGAATTTGATCAAACTGAGACAAGCTGCGTATTTAAGCAAGCAGATTGGGTGTATTAACCCCTGGAGGGATCAATAAACTTTTCCCTTAAATAATAATTTTATTCAAGACTAAGATTAAAAAAGATAAAAACTAATCACGAATTTAAAAAATAGTAATAATACAAACAGCTGTCCCATCGGGGATGAACAATCCTAAATCTCCACGTATTTTGAATTATAATTTATTTCAATCCTTCGTTATTGGCTGTTCCAGGCCAGAATAAGGGATAAACGATAATCCAAAATATAGAAAGGAGAACAGGAGATTTCCTGCCTTTACACCATTTTAGCCCAGCAAGAAAATAAAATTTCTAATAACGGTGGAATAACAGATTCTCAGAAAAGTTTAACCAAATAGTTTCTCCCCACCATTAAAACTTCATCTTAGTTTTGAAACAACCTTTTACATTTTTTTAAAGGGTTTAAACTTGCATCCACCTTTTGTTGCTTCGGTTTGATCTTCGCGGAGAGGTGAGTAACCTCATCGTAGGTCATCGAAGCTGGACGAATAGGATACTGCAACAAAGCAAGATGCAACTTCAGTTAGCTTTTAAAAGACTCTTTCAACTGTTTTTCTTTTTTTTAAAAAAAAAACTTGCACGGGAAAACAAAATACCTGGAACAGATACAGTTTTTCCGACAGACTTTTAGCCAGGTAGACGTCAATCTAGCAAAAAGAGAGACGACATATTCAAGATTTTTATTTTACTTTCTGGAGCTTTGTTTTTGAGCCTTTGTAAAGGCGTCTCACCCCAAATTGCAATTCAGAAGAATAAATCGGCGTAACGAAACAACTAAAAAAATAAATAAATGATGCATTGGTATAAAGAGGAAGGAAATACATTATGAATAGGTTTGAAGCCTTCTCTGAAATACAAGAATTTTTGACAAAATAATTGAAGCAGGGAGCATGACAAGGTATTCAGTGCCCCCGCTGAGAAAGGATTTCATTTAAAAATGACGCTTTATTTGAAAATGAAGGCCTTTGTAAAAGAAAAGACTGGTAGGTAATTACAGAGGTGTGGATTTGACAAGATAAAACATTCCACATTATCAGTTAGAGCTTCATTTTCATTTTTCACCCTGGATATTAACTTTTCACCGCCAAACGACGAAAAGCTGGGCGCTAAACTTTACTACAAGCAGTCCTTGATTTACGGCAACAGAATTTCTGCTGCTAAGCAAGATGGTTGTTAAGTGAATCACGTGGTTGTTAAAGAAATTGGCTTCCTTCCTTGAGTTTGCTTATCAGAAATCAGCTGGGAAGATCACAAAAGGCGATCACCTGATCCAAGGACATGCATGCAAAATCATAAATGCGTGCTGGTTGCCAAGCAACCGACTTTGGATCACATGATCGCAGGGACCCTGCAGAGGTCGTAAGTGTGAAAAACCAGTCCTTTTTTTCCTGTGTCGCTGTAACTTAGACCGGTCACTAAATGAACAGTTGAGGATTACATGTATATTTTCTGTGGGAGGAAAAACTAAAGCAGATATTAAAGATTTTTTTTATTTTTTATTTTAAAAAAAGGTCATTACTTGCCTCTTGTATAATAGGGTCGTCTTCCTCATTGGCCATAGTAGCACTGGAAAAAAACTAACCTTGCAATGTTGCTTAGTGTTAACCTGAAACAAAAACACACAATCGTCACACCACTGATCTCTTCACCGGATCCAAACAATGCTTTAAAAAGAACAGGCAACCAAAAACAGACAGGCAGTCCTCAACTTACGACCAAAATTGACCCTCCAAATTTCTGCTGTTGAGCCAGACGGTTGTTAAATGAGTTTTCCCCGTTTTACAACCTTTCCTGCCACGGTTGTTAAGTGAATCGCTGCGGCTGTCAAGTCAGGAACATGGTTGTTAAGTGGCTCCCACACGGACTTTGCTTGCCAGAAGGTCGCAAAGGGGATCATGTGACGCCCGGGACACGGCAACCGTCATAAATACGAGTCAGTTGCCCAGCGTCTGAATTTTGATCACGTGATTGCGGGGATGCTGCAACGGTCGTAAGTGTGAAAGTCACTTTTTCAGTGTTGTTTGAACAGTTACTAAATGAATGGTTATAAGTTGAGGACTACCTGCAGTTATCCTTTCATTTTTCTCTTCCATGTTTACTGAAAGGTACATTGAAAAACAATCCTTTTCCTCTCCCAGATGCCTTTCCCTCTCAATATTCGTCTTTTATTTATTTTAATTTCAGTCATAGAGCTATGAACATAAATCACCCGTGAATAGAATAGAAACAGAAAGAATAGAATAGAAAATAGAATAGAAAATAGAATAGAAACAGAAAGAAGAATAGAATGAAAATAGAATAGAAAATAGAATAGAATAGAAAATAGAATAGAATAGAAAATAGAATAGAAAATACAAAATAGAATAGACTAGAAATAGGAAGAAGAATAGAATGAAATAGAATAGAAAATAGAATAGAATAGAATAGAATAGAATAGAATAGAATAGAATAGAACCTGGAAGGGACCTTGGAGGTCTTCTAGTCCAGCCCCCTGCTCAAGCAGGAGAACCGATACTAGAGATAGAAAAAGAAAAGACTCTATTGACAGAACAAAATAGTTATTTCCCACCCCAATAAACTGATCCATGCGTTTCTCCAAAGTCTGCCTTTCCTTTCTGATTTGTGTGTTTTCATTTTACCGAGCAGTTTTAGAGAAGAGCTATAAATGAACAAGAAAAAAGCAAAACGAAAAGGACAAAAACAATTTCTATGCTTCAAAAATTATAGATTATACATTTAGCTTTTGTTTTTGTACTCTTTCCCCCCCCCCNTAATAATAATAATAATAATAATAATAATAATAAAGTTGGAAGGGACCTTGGAGGTCATCTAGTCCAACCCCCTGCTCAGGCAGGAAACCCTATACCATTTCAGACAAATGGCTGTCCAGTCTCTTCTTAAAAACTTCCAGTGTTGGAGCATTCACCGCTTCTGGAGGCAGGTGGTTCCACTGGTTAATTGTTCTCACTGTCAGGAAGTTTCTCCTTAGTTCTAGGTTGCTTCTTGTCCTGCCTTCAGGCGCTTTGGAGACTAGTTTGACTCCCTCTTCTTTGGGGCAGCCCCTGAGATACTGGAACCCTGCTATCCTGTCCCCCCCTCGTCCTTCTCTTCATTAAACTAGACATTCCCAATTCCAGCAGCCTTTCCTTATGTGCTTTTAGCCTCCAGTCTTCCCAGATTCCTCTGCCCAAGTTCCCAGCATAAAAGAGAGAGAGAGAGAGTAAAAAAAATGCCATTTATTCTGCCGGATTGAGTTTCGCAGTTGACTCATTGACTCGTCTCTTTTTAAAAGGTTAGCAGCCAAGGCTATCCCCTCTCCCGAGCAACACACCCGCTTGTGCAACACACAACCACAACCGCACCTTCCAGGGAAAAGGAGGATGGGTTCAACTTCTACCCACCGAGTCCAATGCAAGCAGGCTGCTTGCTTCCCCCCCACCCCCCAGCCCTGCTGATGATGTCGGATCAGGGTTTGATTGCCAAGGCATCTTAAACCCAGTTTTAAGAATCCGGGTTAGGAGATCTCTCCGGCTGATGCAACCAGCCTTTGGCAAGCCGGACGTGGCCAGGATTCCAGGTTTCCCTGGAGGGGGGGGGAGTGATGGACCCAGGGCTTGGAGAGGGAGGGAGGGATGGAGGGGGGGCACAAGAGGGGCAAACACCCCCCCCCAGCTGGGGCTTTTGGCCTCTGCAATCCAAAGGGGGGGGCGTCGTGTCCCCAACCCAGGCCAGGCCTTGCAAATCTAACCAGTCCAACTTGCAAAAAAAGATCAAAGGAATGCTTACCGCTTTTTGTTGCAACCAGGCAAAACCCCCCCCGCCTAGGTTGAGGTGGAGGAGGGGGGCTGTTGCTCGGGTCTGGAGCCCCCCCTCCAACCCTCTTTCCGAACCATGCAACGTGCCCGCAAAGCCCGGGATCTCAGCTCGCAGCCATGTTGCGGGAAACTCCTCCGAGCACGTGGGAAGGGGTCGGGGCCCGCCTCTTTGTACCCATAATGCTCGCCCCTGGGAAGGGGAGGCGGGCGCCAGGGGGCGCTCCTCCGGGTCTGCCTTTCCCTCCACGCGTGTAGAAGTGTTCTGTTCGCGTGTTTTATTGATCTTTGTGCATATTAGGTGTGGCGCTGCGTTTGCATTGCAAAGAGCCCCCTTTTTTTTAAAAGGGGAAGCCGGAGGGAAAAAAAGGGATCTGGCAGCGGTGGGATTCGAACCCACGCCCCCGAAGAGACTGGAGCCTTAATCCAGCGCCTTAGACCGCTCGGCCACGCTACCTTATTGGAAGATGTAAGCCTGCGGAGTGTATTCATGTCTGCAAAAGTTCACAATTTCCTCCCTTCTCCCCCCCCCACCAGTTTTACATAGGTGTCTTTATTTATTTATTTATTATTTATTTATTATTTAAATTTATATACCGCCCTATCTCCCTGACGGGACTCAGGGCGGTGAACAGGCGATAATAAAAAATCGCAATAAATATTGAATAAAAAGCCTGCTCTAAAATACCCCCATATAAAACCCCCAGCAAAGCCCAATCAAAAAAAGTCCCCCCCCTCCTCTAAAAAAAAAGTCCAAATTTAGAGTGAAGCGATGGGAAAACGTGATCCAACGCGGGATCTGCCCGGGAAGGATCCCCAGGTGAGTTTTTCTAAATATGATGGAAAAGAAGGGAAAAAAAAAAAAAAAAAGCGTATCAGCGGCTAAAAGTAGCAAAGATCAAAAGCTTTATAGAACGCGGAGTTTCCCCGCCGCGTTCCAAAGGCCATTGTGACGTCAGCGGCTGACGTCACGCGCCCCGCCCGGGTCCAGGTCCTTTGATTAGAATGGGAGATTTAAGCAGAGGGGGGTCTTCAAACTTGATGTGGACTTCAACTCCCAGAATTCCTCAGCCAGGCATGCTGGCTGAGGAATTCTGGGAGTTGAAGTCCACAAGTCATCAAAGGGCCAAGTTTTGAAGACCCCCCTGGTTTGAGCAAAATGGTTTCAAGAGAAATCAGGGTTTGTTTGCACATGCCACCCGATCTATACGGGCAGTCCTCAGCTTGTGACCATAATCGGGTCCAAAATTTCCGTCGCTAAGCGAGACGGTTGTCAAGGGAGTTTTTTGCCCCATCCTATGACCTTTCCTGCCACGGTTGTGAAGCGAACCACTGCAATTATTAAATTAGTCTCACGATTGTTAAGTGAAACTGGCTTCCCCATCAACTTGGCTTGTCAGAAGGTCTCAAAAGGGGATTGCGTGACCCCCCGGGGCGCTGCAGCCGTCATAAACACGAGTCGGTTGCCAAGCGTCTGAATTTTGATCACGTGACCGTGGGGATGCTGCAACAGTGTGAAAAACGGTCACGAGTTCCTTTTTTCAGTGAGATCGTAACTTCCAACGGTCACTAAAGGAACCGTTGTAAATCGATGACTGCTTGTCAAAGATTGCACAAAGGAGAGGATAGGAAAGATAGAAGGAAAGAGAAGGACCAGCAGCAAAGTGGAAGGACTCAGTTACAATGGCAAGGGATGCATTGCTGGAAGACCTGAAGGACCCAGTTGGTTCTTCAGATCATTCTTGAGGTCTTTGATGTTGTTGTTGCGAAGCCGTGTCCGACCCATCGCGACCCCATGGACAACATTCCTCCAGGCCTTCCTGTCCTCTAC